AGCTGCAGGTCTGGTCACGCTGGTTGCTGTGACCCCAAATCCCTTTGTTTCCATCCCTCTCAGCTCTCCTTGGCAGTAGCCACAGCAGAGTCACTGTCTGGACAAGGTGCCAGCAGCACTCTGATCACTCCAGGATGGGGATTTGGAGTGACTCTTCCCCCTGTGTACCTCTTGTTGTGCTTATGCCTCTCCAGGTGAAGGGAGACCCTGCATGGGGACAGTGTGCAGCACCAGGGGCTGGGCAGCCCTAGAGAGCCACAGTGCTGGCCCGCACCAGCAGCTTTCTTAAAAGTTCTTTTTTCCTCCACTGAAGCTCACCACTCTGCATTCTCTGCAGGGACACTTTCCAGTAACTCGAGGAAAGCAGGATAGATTAAAGCATAAAGAAATTTCTTTTCTCGCATGCAGGAGAACTCAGTGCCAGAAATCAGCATTAAATTGGACACTTCCTCTGCAAATACTCTATAAATACTGTTGCTCTTAGCATAGAAGCAGACAAAACCATTTGTGGTATTCTCCAAACCACCCCCATCTCCCCAGAGTGCTGCCAACATGAGCCAGTGGTGCCATACCTGCTCTGAAAAGAGGAACAGAAGCATCATTCAGCCAGGGACGCCACAGTTCAGCTGTTCGGTTGTAGATCCTGTGCTCCTTCCCTGGAAACTGATTCTTGGGGTGGAAGTCATGATTGCCCATCGCCGCGTAGACTTTAGTATCTAGAGACAGAGAAAAGGAGGCACAGAGGAATCCATGCTTGCTTCAGAGTTCCTCAGCACCAAAGCTCCCTGAGGCACTCACAGACTTGGAAAGAAGGGCATGGCTTGAGAGCTTTGCAAAAGCAAATCATCCACACCACAGCCATGTGGTTGCATTGACTGGGGGTACAACACTGCAAAGACCATCCCTCCTTGGGACAAGCCACCCCAGAGCCACGGCTTTACAGATGAATCAGTGAGCTTTCACCATGAATAATGCTCCTTTGCCTACTGCTGACATGGATTAAGCGTGGTGAAATCTTGCAGCCCTTTCTGTCTTAACGACTAATGACAGAAACATTTATTTTCCTCTCTTCTGAGTGAGTTAACCTGAAACAATGAGTGCGCATCAGATGCCTCGGTTCAGACATGCCTCATGCCGTACAGCAATTAGGAAGAGGACAAACAAGTCCCAATGGCCACAGCCCTTCTGTGCCTTTACCCTACCCAATTCTGTGATTTCTCCACCCTGGTAAGCCCTTTGCATGAGACTCCATGCCCCTCTCCCCTTCCCATCCCCTCAGATCCTACCTGGAAATGTCTCTTTTATCAGAGAAGTCAGATTTTCTATTATGTGCAGAACCTTTTCTTCTCCAAGCTTCTCATTGGGGATGTGCGGAGTATCATCTCTAGAAAAATGAAAGCATCACAGTCACTATCTGTGACTAACAGGGCATATGCTTAAAGTGATAAGCAAGGCAGAGAAACTTGCTTATTTCTCTTTTTGCCTCCTAGAAAATAAAGATGAAGTCAAAGCTTTTGGGGTGGGAACCAGCGCTATGTTGACTGGCCAAGGCACTGAAGGAGTTTCAAGGAATTGCTCAAAGTGAAAACTGGCTCCACTTTATTCTACCTTGAAAAATCTATACACAAGCATATGAAGTGGAGGTTCACTCTGCCTCAGTGCATTTAATAAGACACTAAAGCTGACTGGAAATATTGCAAGGAACAGCATTTTGCAATCTCAGGTCAACATCTGATCAGCAATAGTGAAGTAAAGCTGTTTGAACAGCAGAATAACAACTCTCATTAAAATGAAACAAAGGAACGCCTCCAGTAAGGTAGTGATCATTGAGGTCTGCCTCCAAAAACGTAGCAGACAAACGCTTCAGTGTTTTCACTAACGTGCTTATGGCATTTCTAGATGATGTTGGGCTGTCAACAAGCCTATTGGAGAGGAAGGTCAAAATTCAAAATGATATCAAAGAACTGGAGAAATAGTTTGAAGGAAGGAGAAAGCTCAACATAAAGTCATAAGGACCAATAACTACTTCTAAGTAGGAACAATCATTCGCAGAGACAGAAAATTAAAACGTGGGGTCAGGCAACAGCACTGCAAACCAGGACTGGAGGTTACCACAGATTACAGGCTGATGTTGCAGAAGAAAAGTAAACATTACAAGAAGACGTATATACTTACCATAATCATGCAAAATAAAGCTTTTACTGTCTGTAAGTGCTACTGAGGCCTCCTGTGGAATAGGGTACCCACTTCTGGAGACCATACTAGGAGAAAACATGCTCCATTTGGGGACACACTTCATACTTCTACAGCAAAACAGCCCCTTTTTGAGACAAGTCTCCCAGGTGCCTCTTTACAGTTTGAAGGAATGCCACAAGTCTGTTTTGCAATGCTCTCCTCCCACTGCCTTTAACAGGTAGGACTTGGTGCACCAACAGAAAGAGCACGTCCCATTCCCCCGGGCGTTTCAGGTACTCAGAGTTTGTGTGAAGTCAGACAGGGCTGGCCACAATTAAAAAGAAAAGGAAGGATAGTGAATTGTGATCCTCTCCTTACCTTACTGTTTCTCACTGCTGGGGCTTGTTGGGAACCTCTTGCTGGCATTGAGAGGCCTCATCGCGGTTCCGCTCACCCCCAAGCCTCCATTTTGCATTATAAGGCACATCCTGATCTCACCTCTCCAAAACGGTTACCACATAAAGAGCCCTGGATCTCCCACAAGCTCCTCACGCCCCAGCCCTCCGGCTGCCCCTTCTCCCATCCAAACCCTGGCAACCCCCAGAGCAGGCGGGATCGTGCCACAGCCCGAGAGCGATGCATAACCCCGGAACCCCCACCGCCAATTCCTGGAGTATTTGGTGTTTCTCCTCTCGGAGAAGCAGCTCTCTGAAGAGGCAGACACCATCCCTCAGCCCCCAGGACTGCAGCGGGAGGATGGAGAAGGTGAGCTGAGGAGACCCGCGTCAGCGAGCGGCTTCAGAGCCC